CTGGGGGCTGTCCTGCAATGCCTCTTCTAACAGCAACTTGTCCACGGCGGGCATGGTGCTTGCTCGGGCCGCTGCCCGGGTGCTGTCCGTCTCCCGGGGGCCCGCGGTAGCCGCAGCAGCAGCTGCTCTCAGTGACACGTAGGGCTCCCAGCTGTGGCTGCCGGACCCGGAGCCAGCGGCCGGCGGCGGCGGCGGGGGCTGGGATGCTCTTCCCAGCGCACCAGCAGCTGGGGCTGTCTCGGAGCCGCCCTGGGCTCAGACACTCAGTGCCCGCGGTTGGACAGCGAAGCCCACCCCTCGGTGCCCAGTCGGCCTGCCTGCCAGCCTGCTCGCAGCCACCCCTCCCTCCCTTCCCAAGCTCCTCCCCCACAGCCCGGACTCCTGCCAGGAGAAGAATCAACAGGAAGTGTGGCGGTCCTCGGGTCCTGATGGGAAGTGTGGCCGGCCAGGCTTCCTCCTACGCGGGAGCGCTCACGGGGAGCGCTGCCTGCTTCTCCCCTCCCCACAAGCTCGGAGGAGAGGAGCCAGAGCGGAGCGGACGCTCAGACATCACCTTCTGTAAACTCTAGCATGGCGGGGCTGGGAAAGACCTTGGCACATTGTATATTCTGTAGCAACTTCGAGGAAATAGAATGTTGACAGTAGGAGGGGCCTTAGAACTTAGAATGTTAGTGTAGCAACCTGGAAAATAGAATGTTAACAGTGGAAGGGGCCTTAGAACATAGAAAACTAGGTAACAACTCAGGAAAAAGAATGTAATTGTTGGAAAGGTCTTCAGAGTAGGGTGTTTAAACCTTTTTGTGTCGGGGTTCTCTTGGGTAGTCTGGTGAAACCTGTGATCCCTATCTCAGAATAATATTTTCTAAATATATAAAATAAAATAATAGGATCACAATGGAAACCAAATATATCGAATTACAGTTTTAATTGAATTATTAATTTTTTTAAAAAGTTCATGGACCCCAGGTTAATAATCCCTGTGAATACTATTTAGAAGACTTAAGTTTCCATTCCTTTTGACCTAGAGATAACCCCCAAGGAGATCCCTGATTTAAAAAAAAAAAAGGGAAGCCTCCACATACACTACGTATTTATAGCAGAAGTTTTTGTGGTGGCAAAATACTAGAAACAAAGTCGATGCCTACCATTTGGGGGATGATTACACAAATTGTGGTCCACGAATGGAATGTTACTGTGCTATAAGAAGTGATGACTGTAACAGCTATAAAGAAGCATTGGAGGGGCAGCTAGGTGGTGCAGTGGATAGAGCACCGGCCCTGAAGTCAGGAGGACTCGAGTTCAAATCTGGCCTCAGACATATAGCACTTACTAGCTGTGTGACTCTGGGCAAGTCACTTAACCCCAATTGCCTCACCAAAAAAACAAACAAATAAATAAATGAAGAAGCATCAGAAGATTTATTTCAACTAATGTAGAGTGAAATAAGCAAGACCAAGAAAACAATATGCACAATGACAACTACCATGGAAAGCCAATGACGTAAATGAAAAGAACAATTGAAAATAAGTACAGAACAATTACAAAGAACAAGCTTGGCTCCCAAAAAGGAAATATAAGAAGCCACTCCCTCCTCCCAATACTTGCTAAAGATAAAGCAACCACAGGTATGGAACATTGTATTCTAAGACTTTTTTGATATGTTGATTGGTTTTGATGATTTTTCTCTTCTCTCTATTTTTCTTTTTAATTAAAACAATCTTACTTATTAAGGATGGATCTCTGTGAGGAAGAAGAGGTTGGAAAAGGGATACAAGGAGAAATTTAGGTGATATAAAAACAACAGATACCAATAAAATCTATTTTTAAAAAATGCCCTGTGGTAACTTGGGAAATTAATAAATGTTAATGTTAGGAAATCCTTTAGAACACAGGATATTAGAAAACAGAATATTTAACCTTAGATCACAGAATAAGGAATGTTTCAAACGAAAGGAATCTTAAAACAAAACAATGTTAGCAAATAAAATGTTAGAAGTGAAAAGGTCCTGAGGGCACAGAATCTTAACATGTATACTAGGTGACATTCATATAGTGCTTTCTATATTTATTAGCTCATTTGATCTCCCATAACAACCCTGGGAAGTGCTATTATTATCTCTATTTTACAAATGAGGAAACAGAGGCAGAGAGAGGTTAAATGACCTGTCCAGGGTTATGAAACTAATCAATGTCTGAAGTAGGATTCAAATTCAGGTCATCCTGTATCCAAGAACAGTCTATATAACACCACCTAGATTCCATAGACTGTCCAGCTGGAAAGAACCTAAGATCATAGAACATAGAAGGTGGTTGCTAGAAGGAAACTTAGAACATAGAATGTTAGAACTGGAAGGAAAATGAGATCATAGAATGTTATAGAACACACAGTGTTAAAATTGCAAAGGACCTTAGAGATTATCTAAGACTCACAGTATATTAGAACTAGACAAGGCATTGAATTTCTGGGGGCTTCAGTTTCCTCCTCTGTCAAATGTGGGAGTTGTACTCAATGACCTCTAAGGTCCCTTCCAACTCTAAATCTGTGACCCTAAGATTGTCCGATGCTAGCTGGGAAGGCAGGAAGGAGAGGAGTGACTAGAAGTTGTAAAAGGTCAGAGAATAGGGTTAGGAGGGCTGAGGCACAGAGGGAGCTGGGTAGGATAGGAGGTTATGATTAGATAGAAGAATTTCTGAGTTATGGACTGGGGAGGTGGGACACTTGTGGCAGGATGGGTCATGGAAGATGATGAGTGTATAACAGTGATGGGGTGGTGGGGTGTGTGGGTGCTAGGGCTTGTACTTGGACCCCAATTTCTCCCTAGTCTCAGAAACACTGTCTCTGACAACCATTCCCCAGCCCAAGGATACTGTGCCTAGCAATTATTCATGCTTGGGCCCCAGCACGACCCATATCTCTCTTCCTGACCCAGCTACACAAAGCTGGGTGAGAGAGTGCTGGGCTGCTCAGGCCCCAGACCTCAGATCATGTCTCTGGAAGCCTCCCAATTCCTTAGTAAGTTCCTGTCTTGTGAGAAAGCTTTCCCTTGTTACAGTGCATTCTCTCATCAAGACAGAGGGAGAGGGGTGCCTTGCCCAGTCCAAGGACTCTTCCTCCTACCAGACTCCAAAGATCCATACCTCTGTCATCTTCCTCCCTGTCCAGTATACTCCCTTTCTCATCCATAGCTCCCAAAGACACTTGGACTTTGGATTACCTAATCAGTGTCCCTGGCATTCCTTTCCCATGCCCTTTCCCATATAAACCCTAGCTCTATCCTCAGTCTCTCTCAGGTTCCTTAAGAATGCTTGCCCGGACACTTGACACTTACTAGCTGTGTGACCCTGGGCAAATCACTTAACCCCAATGGCCTTACCAAAAAAAAAAAAAAGGTCCCTGAAGGCAAGGACTTGTTTGGGGCAGCTAGGTGGTGCAGTGGATAGAGCATCGGCCCTGGAATCAGGAGGACCTGAGTTCAAATCTGACCTCAGACACATAACACTTACTAGCTGTGTGACCCTGGGCAAGTCACTTAACCCCACTGCCTAACCAAAAACAAACAGACAAAAAAAAAGTGAAGCAAAAATAAAAAAAATTAATCAAAAATCAAAAAAAAAGAAAAAGAATTCTTGCCCGCTGAAAAGCGTAACAATAACTCTTTGCCACTTTGACTTAAAGAGTGCTTGAGTCTGTGAATTCATTCCAGATGACCCACCTGTGCTCCAGTCTTTGAGGGGTCTCAATCTCTCAGATCACAACAAGAGGACAATAGACTGTCATAGCCTCCCCAGTAACTTCAGCAATGCTGGTTTGATTGTTATCTCCCGAGATCAAGGGTAAGATATTGGAGTGTGACTGGATCTAGCCCTATTGTCCTGATTACTATTTTTTGAACATTGTACACACACACTTAGAATCCCTGGCATCCTTCAAGACTCACCTGGAATCCCACCTTCTACAGGAAGCCTTCTCCATTGCCTTATCTGCTAGGACCATCCCCCCTGAAGTTATCTTCCTTCTACACAGCACATAGTCTGCATGTATCTATTTATGTAAATGTCTCCCTCATTTGAATTTAAGCTCTTTGAGGCAGGGTGCCAGTTTTGCTTTTGACTTTGAATCTCTGACATTTAGCACAGTGCCTTGCACAGAGTAATGCCTTAATAAATTCTTTTTAATTTGTTAATTGATTGAAAGTTCATGTTATGATAGTTGAGTAGGTGTGTGAGCTGAAAAGCCAAGTTGTCTGAAGAGACATTAAGCAATGTGAAAATTGAAATTCCCAAGTCCAGAGACAGGGGTGGAGTAGAAGGGCAGAGGGGAGTAAGGGAATGAACTCCTTGAGGAGGGAGAGGGCCAGAAGAGGGCAGCCCCCAGGATCTGGCTAGGGGGTTATTTATGGATAGAGTAAACATCAGAGAAGATGTGACTGAGTGCCTCAGGGAGCATGCCTATGCTTCCCCTAGGTCCATGCGGTTGTTTTTTGGGGGGAGGAAGGAGGGCACATAGGAGAAGTATGTTAATATTAGAGAATCTGGTCAGAGATGCAGTCTTCTGGGAAGAATAAGGTTTGCATGATTGTAAGAAAATATAGGGAATAAGGGAGGAAGAGCAGTTTGAAGTATGAAGGGCAGTTTATTAATAATAGAATGAAGTTCCAGAAGGCACAAAAGAAGGCTAGAATACAGTAAGAGTAGACTGGCCAGCTAGGTGGTGCAGTGGATAGAGTATGGGGTCTGGAGTCAGGAAGAGTCAGCTTCCTGAGTTCAAATCTGGCCTCAGACACTTACGAGCTGTGTGACCCTGGGCAAGTCTTGTTGCCTCAGTTTACTAATCTGTAAAATGAGCTTGAGAAGGAAATGGCAGAGCACCCCAGTGTCTTTGCCAAGAAAACTCCAGATGGGGTTGGACACAACTGAAAATGACCAAACAACAAGAAGAATCAGTACACAGATTGAGATGAGGGGATTGGTGGTCCAGGGGAGGCAGCTTCTGGCCAGGAAGCCTTTGGCTCAAAGAGAGTAAAACCGCAGCAATAATGACCAACATTTATAGAGCACTTTAATGTTTGCAAAGTGCTTTACAAAGATCTCATCTGATCCTCACAACAACCCTGTGAAGTAGATGCTATTATTATCCCCATTTTAGAGTTGAGGAAACAGAGGCAGATAGAGGTTAATCACTTGCCTAGAATCACATAGGTTATGTCTGAGGCAGGTTTTCCTGGCAGACTAGCTGCCTGTATGTGGCTAGGATTGATTTGCTTACTCTTCAATTAACAGACAGAGCAGCTCTGCCCAAGGGCCAGCTGAGTGGACAGACTTCTGGGGTGGCATAGGGGAAGGGTGCTGTAAGTACTTACGCTATACAAATCACCATGCTAGGCAGGAGGGTTAGGCCCTGGGGAAGCGACTTGCCTAGAGTCTTGTAGCTAAGTAGAGGCAGACCTTATTCCTAGGTTCTGCCCCTTATTTCTCTGCCTGAAATCCTCAGTCCAATTTATCCTTCAAAGTCAACCTTCAATGCCATCTTCATGAAATATTCCAACGTGGTATAGGAGGACCTGGGTTCAAATGCTACTTTGTACACTTATTGCATGTGTTATTTTAGGCTAGTCATGTCACCTTCCTAGGCCTCAGTTTCCTCATCTGTAAAATGAGAGCATTGGACTAGGTGGCCTCTGTATCCCTCCCAACCCTACATCCATGACCCTATGATCCTAAAGAGCAGATAGGTGACCTTTAACTCAATGTAAGGAAAACTTTCCTAACACTGGAGCTATCCCAAAGTGGATTGGGCTGCATGAGGAGGTAGTGAGTTCCCCCTCACTGGAGGTCTCCAGGCAAAGTTTGGATGACCACTTGTCAGGTAATCAGGAGAGAAGGTTCCTGTTTGGGAATGGGATAGATTAGACAGCCTTTGAAGTCCCTCGAAAATCTAAGATTCTATGTTTCTATGATATTGTCTCTGCCCTCAAAGAGCTTACAATCCGATAGTAGCCATAAGACCAATCCAGGTTATAATATAGGAAAGTCCAAATGGTGGTTAATTAATCTGTCAGTTAATGAACATTTATTAAGCTCCTACTATATGTCAGGCACTGAGATAAGCTAAATTGTGATATGAGAGAGAATACAGAATCATTTAAGTTAGAAAGGAATATTAGAAGTCAAGGAAAGTGAGGCCCAGTGAGATTAAGTGATATCCCATTCATTAAATGACACAGTAAATGGCAGAATTTGAACTCAAGTCCTTTGACTCCAAATCTAGCATACATTCACTTGTATCTCACTTCTTCCCTATATGAGGAAGCAGCTGTGGGATGAAGGAAGGCTTCATGGTACTTGAAATAAACCTTGAGGGAGCTGAATCTCAACTCAGAGGATGTGAAAGGGGGGGAGGAGGAAGGTTGGTATACTGTATGACTTAGGCAAGAAGTCTGTATATCAGTTTCCTCAAAATGTAAAACAATGCACTTGATCTATATGGCCTCTAAAGTCCCTTCCTGCTCAAAATCTGTGATGCCATGATGGAGTCAGTCTGGGATGTGTTAAATCCAAAGTGATTCAGAAGCTTCTGATGATGAAATTTCTGGATAGAAGTAGTTTGTACATTGCAATCTTTGTGGGGCGGATAGGGTTGTGAGAAGGCCTGGGTTCAAGTCTAGCCTCTGAGGCATTCTAGCTATGTGGCCAGACAAATCACTTCACTCTCTGTGCTTCAGGAAATTTTCTAAGAGTAGTAGCTAGAGAGAAGGTTCTGACCTTCACTGGTAGAGAGTGATTCTTCATCTGGTAATTCCCATATCAATGAATTTATAGATCTAGGTCCTGTCTCTATTTAGAAGCCACCATTTTGATAACCAAAGTTATTTGGGTACTTTTCTCTACTCTACATAAAATCCTCCTGTTTCCTCTCCCACTATTCTACATCTATTAATTCTCAGGGAGGGAGATTTCTTTTTTTGCAGCCAAATTCAGGCCTAGACCTAGAACTTTCTTTAGTGCTCATTGCCTGAGCAATCTGTCCTTCCCTGGAGGAATCCTTCCATTTGGCCTTGGAGAAAGACTCTTTCTATTGAACTGTTTATCATGACTCCCAAGAACATCAGACCCACACTAAAAAAGGGAAGAATGAGGACTTACTGTACTTAGATAGCAAAATAGGCATTTCATCATTTCCTTCCTTTGTGGTTAGTGAGGTCTTACCACCAAAGGCAAAGGGCCACAGTGTTACACTATGTCTACAGTAACACCCTGGCACAGGAAGGCAACCTACAGATTATAAACTCCCAATAACCTGTGTTCATGAATGTCCTGTTTCACATTGCTTCTCTTCTCCTCCTGCCCTAATCTCTCTACTGATCTCCCTGGACAGCAGCCAAGCTGATCTAGGCCAATGATGCCACATAGTGGCCAGAACCAAGCACTGGCTAGTGTTATATAAAAAGAGAGAATTGGACCTAGCATCGGGAAATCTAGATCTTAATTCTGGTTCTGCCTCCAAATAAGTACATGGCCCTAGAGAAATTACTTTACTTTTCTGGGCCTCAGTTTCCTCATTGGTCAAAAGAAGAGATTGAACTAGATGATCTGTAAGGTCTCTGAAATTCTATGAGTCTATGGATTTTTCTTCCCTCTCTGCCGGAGGGGTCAAGAAGAAAATGTCCTCCCTTTTAACAGCTCACATCTGTTAATTTTATCTTAAATAATCTTTGTCACAATTCTTCCAGCTTCTTCTCTACCTATCAAGGGCCTACTCATCCCTAAAGAGGCCATCTCAAGCATCACTTCTTAGATTCCAGGAAATAGGATTTAGAACCGGAAGGAGTCTTAGGTATCATTGAGTCTAACTCTTTGTTTTACAGATGAGGAAACTGAGGGTCAGAGAGGGAGTTGCAGGGCCAGGATTTGAACTCAGATTGTTTGACTCCAAATCTTGTGCTTATTCCATTATAATTCAGTGGGCTCTCCTTTCCTCAGGGATCGTCCTCTGTAGAGCTGTAAGGAGGAGCTGTTGCACTTGGGGCCAGTTCATCCAGGTGGGGTGAGGGGAACAGGTACCACATCACAGAAGAAAGTTTAGCCCTGGATGAGGTGTCTGAGAGATGGGGTGCCCAGAGGGTCTGGATTAGTCCCTTGTAGAGGTTGTGGGAGGAGGTGACATGGTTAATAAATCTCTCCCCATTCCAATCTTCCTCATTCAGTTGCCAAGGTGATTTTTCAGAAGCATAGATGAGATTATGTCACTGCCCCTTCCCCCAACGAACCCCAGTGACCTCCTATTACCTTCAGTGGCTCCCTATTGCCTTGACCATCAAATATAACACTCTTTTTGGTGCTGAATGCTCTTCCCAACCTGGCCTTTTCTTACCTATTTCATCTTCTAATACTCTACTCTCCTACATATGCTCAGTCATCTGGCTACCTTAACCCTTTTGTAGTTCCTTGAACATGACATTCCACCTCTGGAATGCTGTTTTGCCTGTCCCCACGCCTGAAATGCTCTTCCTCCTCCCCTTTACTTCCTGGCTTTCCTGGATTCCTTCAAGGCTCTGCTCAGATCATCTCAGATTCCTTCAGCAGGAAACTTTCCCCCATCCCCTTATTCCCCCAGCAGCTGCTGCCCTCCCCTTAGAGGCAGCTACTGCTGCAAAGAATAAAGCATGGGGCCCGGAGTCAGGAAGACCTGAATTCCCATCCCTTTTCAGGCACTAACTGGCTATATGATCTAGGGTAAGTCATTGCTGTCTGCCTCAGTTTCCTCAACTGTCAAATGGATAATAATAGTACTCACAGGGCTGTTGAGAGGATCAAAGGAGATATTTGTAAAAAGCACTTAGCACAGTGCCTGGTCCACAGCAGCTGCTGTACAAAATATTGATTCCCTCTCCCTGCTCCCCTCAGATTATCTTCCACATGCTCTGTAGGTATCTTGTATAGACTCAGTTATTTACATGTTGCCTCCTACATGATAATAGTAGCTCCTTGAGAGGAGAGATTGTTTTCTTTGTATCCTCTTAGTATATTCTTAGTATAGTGCCTGACACTGACCCGCTTTGGCATTCAGAAGGGTAGGGACTTGGGAGTGGTTCCACTGCAGCCTAGCTTGGTGGAGAGCCTTGTGGGGACACCAATGGCTGTATCTCTTCTTTTGACTCCCATTTGTGGAGTAAGGGAGGTGAGTGGGAAATGGCTCTGCTGATGGTGGGCAGCTGCAACGATCTTCCTCTTGATGCCCTGTATGGAGACCAAGGAAAGCCAGAATTCCAGAATCACAGAGTTGGAAGGGTCCTCAGTGGTCACCTAGTCCAGCCTGTTATCTAACCACGAATCTGCTTAACCCCCACCCCCACCCACGTAGTGGTCATTCTGTCTCTTCCTGAAAATGTGCAGAGTGGAGGAGACTCATACCACATCCTGCAGGAGCCTACTCCACTAATTGTTGGATTGGATTATTGGATTGTCATATTAGATTGGATTAGTCCTCATACTATTTCAAGCTGAAATCTTCTCCTTGGAAACTTCCTCTTATGGTTCCCAGTTCTGCCTTCTGGGAAAAACTAGAATAAGTCTGATACTTCCACCACAAGATGGTCCCTCAAATATGTGAACACAGCCACAGAAGTCTTCTCTTCTCAAGGCTGAACATTCCTGGCTGCTTCAACAGATCCTTGTATGGCCTCGTCTTTCATCATTTCACCGTCTTGGCTTCCCTCCTTTGGACACACGCCATTTTGGCAATGGCTTACGCCTCAATCAAAAGCCAACGTTCCAGATGTTGTCAGACCAGTGTGGAGGACAGAGGGACTTCTACATTCTGGCCACCCATCTCTGTCTATTGAAATTATTCTCTATGGTAAGAAGCAAGCATTTATTAAACACCTACTATATACCTGGCACTGTGCTGAGTACTTTACAAATATCATCTCATTTGATTCTCACAACAACCCTAGGAGGTGAGTGCAATTTTTAATACCTATTTTACAGATGAGGAAACTGAGGCAGATAGAGGTTAATGACTTGCCCAGGGTCACATAAGTAGTATGTTTCTGAGGCTGGATTTGAACTTCATGACTCCAGGCCCAGTGTTCTATCTACTGTACCACCCAGCTACTTCATGTACCTCTATGGTATCTGATACGAATAAACTTGAATCTATAGGATTATTGATCTAGAGCTGAGAGTCTGCCTTGGGGGTCATCAGATTCAAGGCCCTTATTTTACAAATGAGGAAACTGAGGCATATAAAAGTCAAGTGACCTGCACTAAATTATGCAGGTAGTAAGAAGAGCCAGGATTCCAATCTAGGTCCTCTGACTCTAAATTCATTACTCCTTCCATGTATGAATTGGATTTTCTTATGATGTCCCAGGGGAGATGTGTCTACCACCAATGGTGATAGACTATTTGAGAGGGTGTTTGCATCTCGTGGAGTTCAGTTGGAGCCAATGACTTTTAAGGTTCCTCTCTGTTCTCCATCGTGGTTTGGTTCTGTGTCTTTCATAGGACCTAGGAAACCATTTTACGAGCAATAAGGAAACAGGGGCAGGAACTTCTCAGAGTTACCAACTTTTAGCCCATTGACCCAAACTATGGCTCTTAGTTATTATCTAAGATGGGTCAAGGAAGGATCGCAGGCATCTGTGGGTGGAACAGAGGATACTGCTCCCTCCAGAGAGGCCACAACGATGAATGGGGACAGAAGTGTGGGGGGGGGAATATCCTAGGAACCAGAAGTTTGTGATCTGGTCCAGTTTATTACAAGCCCCTCGAGACTCTTAATGGGAATTAAGGCTGGGCTTTGTTTGCACTACAGGAAGAGAGGTTCAGAGAGTCCTGTGTCAGCTGTGGGTTAGTCACTGGGAACCCCTGCAGAAGCCACGACAGAGGGGGCATCTTCTAGGCTGGGACTATTCAGAGCATGGGATCTTCAGCTTAGCCCCCAAAGGGTCAGTGAGAGCCTAGACAATCAGCTGCTTCATCATTCCTAAACTCTAAAGTCTGAGTTTATCAGATGGAATGATAATGGTAATAATAATGATAATAATAATGACTAGTAGAACACATTAAGATTTGCAAAGTGCTGTACAAATATCTCATTTGATCCTCACAACAACTCTGTGTGGTAGATTCTATCTCTGTTCCCATTTTATAGATGAGGAAATAGAGGCAGGCAGAAGGTAAATGACTTGTACAGGGTTGCACAGTTAGCAAGTATCTAAGGCAGATTTCAAACTCGGGTCTTTCTGACTGTATCCAACACTCTCTCTGGTGGGCTGTCTAGGTGAATGAAATCCAACTCTTTCTGCTAGACTTTAGAGCTCTCTATATACCCTTCCAGTAATGCTAGGCATAACTTGCCCTCAAGTGTTCAACCTCCCAGCCACATGACTCTGCTTTTGTTTCAAGTACAGAACATTCTCTTTCCCAGAATACCTCAGTGGGTAGAGCCCTGTGCCTAGAGTATGGAAGACCTGAGTTCTGTTCTGTCCTCAGACACTAGCTGTGCAAGCTTGGGCAAGTCACTTAACTTCTGTCTGTCTTAGTTTCCCCAACTGTAAAATGGGAGAAAAACGACAATAACAATAACAAACAAAACCTCCTAGGGTTGTTTTGAGGATCAAATGAGATCATGTTTGTAAAGTGCTTAGCAAAGTGCCTGCACATTTAATAGATGCATATTCCTTCCTTCCTTCTTTTCTTCCCTTTCCTTCCTTCCTTTCTTCCCTTTCCTTCCTTCCTTCCTTCCCTTCTTCCTTCCTTCCTTCCTTCCTTCCTTCCTTCCTTCCTTCCTTCCTTCCTTCTTTTCTTCCTTCCTTTTCTTCCTTTCCTTCCTTCCCTTTCCTTCCTTCCTTCCTTCCTTCCTTCTTCCTTCCTTCCTTCCTTCCTTCCTTCCTTCCTTCCTTCCTTCCTTCCTTCCTTCCTTCCTTCCTTCCTTCCTTCTCTCTTTCCACCTCTGGGCATTTGCTTAGGCTGCCCACCATGTCTGGAATGCTCTTCCTCCTCATCTCCACCTAGTATCATCCCTAGCTTCCTTCAAAGTACAACTCAGAAGCCACCTCCTAGCAAGCCTCTGTTGTTCATGGAAATTAGTTTGTAGTCAGTGTGTGTGTGTGTGTGTGTGTGTGTGTGTGTGTGTGTGTGTGCGCGCGCACACATTCCCTCCCTTCAGTAGACACTAAGCTGTGGACTGTCTTGGTTTTCTCTGTGTATCTCCAGTGCTTAGCACATTGCCTGGAACATGGTAGATGCTCAATAAATACTTATTGTATTGAGAGATTAGGGGGTTTTTCATGGTCTCTCCCAGTGAGTAACAGGAGCAGCTCATCAATGTTTCAGGCCTTTCTCTGTCTCTGCTTCCACCCGCAATTTGGTGTTCTCTTTCTCCACTCAGTTCTCAGGTGCCTTCTGCACACAATCAATCCTGCCAGAGTTTTAAAAAGCATTTCCCAAATATTTACCAAACTCTGTGGGCAGTGGTCAGGCAGGTGTCACCCTAGGATTCTGACTAGTGGCCATCTAACAAAAACTGAACCAAGATGATTTTCTGTAGACTCCTCGAAGATGCTTAGGTTCACATCGCTTCCTTAAATCTCTTCCAGTCGCCTAATCTCTCACCTCCCAATTAGAGCTCTGTTTCCTTGTGATACCTACCCGATCTGGTAATCAAAACTCCATGTATCTAACTTGGCTTTCAGTCAGTGGCAGACATCAGTTCAGCCATCAAACAAGGACGAGACCAAAAGATTTCTGCCTCAGTTTTTATGCTCCCAATTCAATGAGACTGTTTCCCAGTCTACCACCGCTTCCTCATTCTCCCTTCTATGCAGCTATACTCTTATCATGCTATAACATTCCAACCTTGACAGTGGACAGCTGTGTGTAGGCAGGGATTCTGGTGTCAATGATCAGCCTCTCACCATCACTTTTCCCCAACCCTACCCAATATTTTCTTCTTAAGGTAAAGTTTTCCATATTTAATCTTGGCTCCCAAAAGAAATAATTTGTAGGGTCTGAGCAATCTCACTTCAAGAACTATTGATTTTAGGCCACCAAATTGTGTAGAAGGATGCAGAGTTATGTAAGAAAGAATTTATATCTGGGTGTACATGTCACGGTGGAAAGAATACTGAACTTCAAGTCTTAGGGCTGGAGTTCAAATCTTACCTCTGATACTTAGTAGCTTTGTGAACTTGGACAAGTCATTTACCCTTTATGGGCCTCTGTTTCCTTCTTTAAAAATGAGTTTTAAGGTTCTGTCCAACGCTACATCTATGATTCTTTGGCATCTACCTTCTATGACTCATGTCCATTTAAATTTTATATTTGTCTCCATCCCATCTTTCCATACTTGTTTGATATTATACTATGTGTTATAGACTGCTGGCTGTTTTCCTGAGGTTGGCATGCCACCTTTGGCTTCTGCCTAAAGTGTTCCCCAGTGCAAGGTGTGCCCTCCCTCCTTATCTCTGACTTTTGGAATCCTTCTCTGCCTTTAAGGCTTAGCTCAGGGGCTGCCTTCTCCACCAGATCTTCCCTGGTCCCCCCAGCTGGTAGTGCTGTTTTCCTCCTCTAATATCCTTTTAGAACTTTGGATGTTTTCATTTTTGCCCTCATCACTCTCTACCTTATATTTTACAATCTGAATGTGTATATATCCTCCTCTCCACCACAATGGATTCTCAGTGCCTTGAGGAGCTTTTTTTTTTAAACATTTACTCTCCCTGGTTTATTTCAGTTTGATCTCACACAAATTAAACAACAGCAATGATGACAATAACAACCCCCAAACCCCAAACATCTAGAGTTGGGAGGGCCCAGATCAAAGTGTTTAAAAAGCTCCAAGTGTTTGTCTTTGTATTCCCCCATGCCTCACCTCATATGTTACACATAATTAACAGCTGCTTATTCAAATAATCAATAGTCACAGTATCACAGACCTCAGCTAGCAGGGACCTCAGTGGCCCTTTAGTCCAATGGTCTCATTTTACAGAGATAGAAACCGAGGCTCGAGGAGATTAAATGATTTGCCCAAGGTCGCAGAGTTAGAACAGATCAAAACTAGGATTTGAGCCTGTTGCCTCAGAATCCCAAGCTATTTATTGACCAGCCACTATGTGCCAGGCACTGTGCTGGACAGCAGGACACAAAGATCAAAAGGAAATATGACCTGCTCTCATGGAGCTTAGGTCCTAGTGAAGGAAGACATTTGCATACTTATGTAGGATATGTATACAATTGTATGTATGTATACTATTATGTATATGAAATAGCTATCTGGTGATTTTGGAAGGGGAGTACTCACAGCTTGGGGGGGACAGGAAAGTAGAAGGTGGGGCTTGAGCTGACACTGGGAGGTAGAGGTAAGGATGGAGGACATTCCAGGCATGAGGGGACCCAGCCAGCAGAAATGGAATGATGTATGAGTGGAACAGCCAGAAAGCTCATTTGGCTGGGCCATAGAGGTTCCCTGAGGAGTTGAATTGAGCTTATTTGTCATTGGTGATAATGGGGATGGGGGTTTACTTTATCACCCAGATGGCAAAGCTGGGACAAAGCATTCATATGACATAGATTGAGTTTGAAAATTGAGCTCTGAGCCCCGACCTCTCTTCTTGCAATCTATGCCCTCTGTATATTACCTGTTCATGAGATACATAACTAGGTACCATGGAGAATGAATTTGGGGTCATGGAAAATATGTGCATTTATTAAAAAGTGACATTGACAAGCAATGTCATCAGGACAGAAGACTCAAAACCTCAGGAGCCCAACGGCAAATGGAGAACAAGATGGTGAGTATAAGTGGGCTGTCACTGTAGCAAATAAAGACTTAATTATGAGCTGCAAGAGCAGAGGGATGGATGGTCCAAACACTAGTACCCACAGATGAAGATGGTGGCAAGAGAGCAGATGTTGTGCTGTGGAGGTGACCAGGATGACAATGGATGAACCACATGCCTGGTACATTTTTGTAATGGTTTCATTAAGTAATAATCAAGGTCATGCAATAGTATTTCAGAGATAAAACGAGTAAAGTGAGCACTGATTAACAATTGTTGAATTAAATTTGGTTGAGTTCAGTTTGATCCAATTGCCACAAACATTTATTTATTTATTTTTTGGTGAGGCAATCAGGGTTAAGTGACTTGCCCAGGGCCACACAGCTAGGAAGTGTCAAGTGTCTGAGGCTGGATTTGAACTCAGGTCCTCCTGACTCTAGGGCTAGTGCTCTACTCACTGTGCCACTTAGCTGCCCCCGCCACAAACATTTATTGAGGGCCTTCTATATGTCAGGTGTCACAAAGGGAAGAGATGAGGGCAGAAAGGCTACAAAGCAAAAATGAAAAACAATCCCTGATCATGGGAACCTTCCATTTCTGCAAGATGGCCACATGCAGAAGGGGAAAATGCATTTAAAACATACAAATACAAAATTATTGGAATAGGGGCAGGGAAGCACTAACAACTGGGGAGAAACTTCTCCTTTCTGAGGGTTTTCCCCTCAGTCAGCACTGTTTTTATTTCCTCTTTATATCTTCCTGCCTGTAGATTTTTCTCCCCTGCTGAAAAAAATTTTTTTAAAGCCCAGATCTGTGATTTCTTCCATGTAGGGAACTCTCCTTCTCACTGATGCAATTTAGTAATGGAAAGTGGCCTGGGAGGGCACCGAGAGGGTGACTTGCCCAGGATCACATGGCCATGTGATCAAAGGTATGTGTCAAAGGTAGGTTTTGTACCCAGATCTTCCTGACTCTGAATCTGGCTCTCTAGCTATTGTACCACACTGCCTCTCACTTCGGTTTTTTAAAAATACACTTTTTAATGCTATTTTTTGGTTTTATGTCATTGACACTCCTCCTGTATCCATTCCTTCTCATACTCTCTCCTTCCCCTCGTCACTGGATTTTATTATATTAGGATTTATTTATTTGGAGGGAAGGAAGGCTATGCTAAGAGGAGATTTTCTCCTTCACTTTTCCATGTCCTCCCCCCACCCTCCACTCTAGACTGATTGAATTGTTTTCACATGTCCTCACGTCTCTCCCTTCGACCTCATTGCCTTCAGGCCTCAAGTCTCTGCTTATACAAGAATCTGACCATCAGGACCTTAGAAACTTTTTCATTGTCTTCCTGACAATTTTCCAGAGAGTCATAAGATGTAGACCTGGAAAGAGCCTTGGGCATCATCTGGTCCAATCACCTCATTGTATAGATGAGGAAACTGAGTCATAGAGAATCTAAGCAGCTCTGGTACTTACTAGCTATGTGAACTTGAGCAAGTTGGCATCTCACTGAACCTCAGTTTCTTACTCTGTAAGATGGGAATAAAACTGCATGAACTGCTTGTCTTGCAGGGTCTCAGGGAAGAAAACATTTCCATTAACCCGCAAGCATTCAAGAGAGGAAGAGTTTGTGGTTTTCACAGCCCCGTGCTCCTTACAGCCTATCACGCTGACTCCTGGTGACTTTGTGCCAATTTTTCAACCTCCCAGTGAATTCTTCCTTTATAGGATTGACTGTGAGGGCATTAGGCCTTGTGACTTCACCATTTTTATAGATTTTAGCACTCCAGATAGAGTTTGCATCCAGATGTTTCCCCAGCAATACAATTCAAGTTAATTCAAATTAATCAACAATTATTTATTAAATGAATAAGTAATTGTTGATTAATTTGAATTGACCTGAGAGGCAGCTTGCTCAGTGGATGGAAAACCAGCCAGTCAGGAAGATGTGGGTTCCAGTTCCACCTCTTGCTGCGTGACCCTGGACAAATCACTTAAACTCTCGGTGTCCCAGACAACCTGAGAACCATAAATTGAAGGGGGGGGGGAGCAGTTAATAGTGCAGATAGAAAGGTTTTTTTGATTGAGAACTGTCTTTGTGATTTGCAGAAGGCCACATTGTAGGCAAATGAGAGAGCTGGGATTTGAACCTGGGTCCTCTGAGTCCAAAACCAGCATGGAAGAAGCGTTTGGGTGGCTACTGTTTGTAGTGAGGGTGGCAGTGGGCTGGGTTGCACCCCCTGAAATGTGGCCTAGGGAGACCTGTGCTGGAGCCCTTCTGGAAACTTCTAGGGACTTGAGGGGCCACATGTTTCATGGGTACAATTCCTTGTGCATTTGCAACAATTTTCTTCCTTTGTGTCACCACATCAACGTCTGTCTAATTCAATTCAATAACAAACATTTATTAAGTACCAATTATTTGCAAGATATCATATCCGATGCTGAGGACACAATGATAAAATACAATCTTCGCCCTCAAGGAGATTACAATTTACTGAAGGGGGGTAATCAACCAATCAACAGTTTTTTAATTTAAATTTTATTTTATTCTGAACATAAGAAATAAAACAAACATTCCCATAACATAGTAGAATTTAAAAAAAGATGATTGTACATGAAACTGAAAATCTATTATGTACAACTTGCTATTCCTTTTAAATATATAATAATGTTATCATGTAACTTTTTTTGTCTTTTTTTCTCCCCCCCAAGATGGCTACATTAGACACAAATATGTATATATATGTAAAACCCTTCTATACATACTTCTATTTATCAGTTCTTTCTCATTCTACTATGTGCCAGGCATTATGCTGGGTGCTGCATTTTAGTAGGAGAGACAATATACATAATATATAGATGGACACCCACGCACAAAATCTAAAAATAGACAAGGTGAGTAAGGCACTAGAAGCCGGGGTAGGATGGGGGGGATTGGGAAATCCTTCATATAGAAGGTGATGCCCGAGTTATGTCTGGGCTATGCTACTTCACCTCCCTTGCCTCAGTTTCCTCATCTGTAAAGTGATAGGGCTTGGCTAGATGGGCTCTGAGGTCCTTTCCAGCTCTAGACCTGAGGCTTTGTTGCTGCCCCCCTCATCTCCCCTTTCTGCAGCTCATAGATTAAGTGAATGGTGGCAATAAGATCAGAACTCAAAGGCCATTGAGTCCAGTTCTCTCATTTTAGGAACTGAAGCTGAGGGAGGTGATGAGACTTTTCCAGGACCACACAGGGAATGAGGATAAGGGCAGGATTTGAACACTGGTCTTCTGACTTCAGAACTAGTGTCTATTCCTTTACTACATCACAGAGTTCATTCCAAGCAAGTGGGCTAGCTTGGAATCAGGAGATGGAAGGTGGAGTTTGGGAAATAGTCTGTAGTCCATTGTGGCTAAGAGGTGAAGAGTATGAAGGAAGTATGTGAAATGTGGCAGGAGAGACGGCTTAGGGACAGATTTGATATAAACTGTGCAGTTTATATATTCAGGGCTCTTGCAACAAATTAAAAATAACATGGATGAGTTCTAGAGTAGAGTCTGAAATGCTGCCCATGATCCTAGAGAATGTTCTATGGTGGCATTATTATTGTTATCACTATTATATTGGTATCAGGGTGAGGGACTATATGTTAGAAAGAGAAAGTAGGATGGCAACATGACAAGGTCACAGGATGACAGGTGGATGACCAGACTCAGTCAGTCAACAAACATTTATTAGGCACTAATTTTGTGCCAGGTACTGGGGATACAAATACAAGAAAAAAGAAAGTCAGAGTGTTCTACTAGGTGCTGGATTAAGGAGGGTCCAAGTTTAGATCCTATTTCAGACACTTAGCTATATGGTCCTGGACAAGTCACTTAACCTCTACCAGCCTCACTTTCCTTCTCTGTCAAATGAGGGATAATAATAGAATCTGTGTCCCAGGGTTGTTGTGAAGATCAAACAAGATAATATTTATCAAGCATGAGGGACGTATCAAGGATAAGGGACAGCTCAGCCCTATCTTGTTCAGGCCTCTTTCACCTTCAGAGTCTGAGCCCATGAGAAGGACCAAGGTTAACAGACTCTGGTGGAAGGAGCTGGTGCTCACCACTGAGTCAGGAGGAGATGACAGAGCTTCTGCCCAGCTCCATGGGGTCCATTTATCCCAAGAAGGCTGAAAACTCAGAGGGTTTTTTTGTTTTTTGTTTCAGGGGTGTCAAGCATTGCTGGAAATGAATCCCGATGAGACAATACAGCTTTCATTGAAGGATGGCGTCAAGAACGGTAAGAAACCGGCTCCATTGTTCCCACACTTGTTCAGGGACTGAACAGAAATTGTGGCTTTATACTTGGCTTATGTTCAAAATACAGAATGGACACATCCTTTCTCTCCCTTTCCTGTTACTCTTTGTCCCTGCACTGTGAATAGATTTTGATTTTTTTTTTGATAAGCTTTTCTTTATTTCCTCCTACATGGCTTTATTACCGTGGTGGGCAAATCCTCAGTGAATTTATGGAACAGAAAAATTTAAAGGATTCCTAGAAAAGAAAAGGTAGAAACAACAGCATTTTGAGGGCTCTTAACTGTCAATATGGATGTGTATAGGGTCATAAGTTTACCGTTCGGAGAGACCTTAGAGATTATCTCATCCAAACCATATGTATATTTTTAAATTTGGGATTTATAGTCATTTTTTTATGCAACTGTTTCTCACTGGTTTGTGAGACAATATTACCTAAAATCTTCCTTAATTTGCCTCTTGTAATATTTTGCAAATGAGCTTTTATTCTAGGATTTGGAACTGGAAGGGACCTTGGTCTGAAAGGTCTATATTGTTAAACTTCTCTCATTTTACAGATAAGGTAACTGACGCCCTTAGAGATAAGTGACTTGCCCAGGGTCACACAGGTCTTAGGGTCTTCTGATTGCAAATCCAGTGCTCTTCCCACGCTCCCGTTATAAACTAATATTGCCTAGGAGGATGATAAGTTCGGGCAAGATTTCTCAATCCATAATTATGTGTTAGCATTTTGTTACTGTTCAGTTGTTTCAGTCATATCTGACTCTTCGTGACCCCATTTGGGGTTTTCTTGGCAGAGACACTAGAGTGGTTCACCATTTCCTTCTCCAGCTCATTTTACAGATGAGAAAACTGAGGCAAACAGGGTTAAGTGACTTGCCTGGGGTCATACAATTAGTAAGTGTCTGAGGTCATATTTGAACTCAGGTCCTCTGAGTCCAGGCTTGGTGCTCTCTGCACTGCGCCACCTAGCTGCCCCATCATTTTGTTGTCTTCTGGCTCTTTGGAAGAGGGTGGGGAGGGCTACATGATAACATATTGCTTCCTTCCTTTTATCTTCTGCTAGAAAGATGTATCTCGGTACTTCTATCCACTCTATTGTAGAGATCATGGTTCATGAGTGTGGAATATTGCATGTAAGATCAGATTTTTTTCAATGTATAGATTGGGTTTGCTCATCCTGCCCCCATTCTCCTTTTTTCTCTTAATTTTTAAGTTTTTGTTGTTGTAAGAAATAACTGTCTGAAAGACAGAAAGAAAGGGATACGTGGGGAAATCTAGATGAGGCAAAAACAATATCATAACAGCTAGTATTTAGATAGCTGGAAAAGAACTTTGAGGTCTTCTAGTCTAATCTTCTCATTTTTATAGATGAGTCTTAGAAGTTAAGTAACTTATCCAAGATCACACGGGTAGTGAAAGAGACAGTATTTGAACTCAGGTCTTCTGACTCCAAAGTTAGTGCTCTTTCCACTCTACCATGACTTCCTCTTGCCTAGACCATTGTAATAGCCTCCTAACTATTCTTCCCACCTTTCGGTCTATCTCTTATCTGCACCACTACTGCCCCAATAATCAACCTTATGTACTGTGATGGTGGCATCACTTTCCTTCTCAAAAGTCTTCAGTGGCTCCTCACTGCCTCTCAAATCAAGAATAAATTCCTGACTCTGATATTCAGGATCATGCACAGTTATGACGCCACCTTCGTTCAGCTCCAGCCTCATCCCACCATCAGTCTTGCTTTTTGTTGTTTTGTTATTGAATCGTTTTTGGTCGTGTTAGACTCTTCGTGACCCCATTTGGGGTTTTCTTGGTACTGGAGTGGTTTGCCATTTCCTTCTCCAGCTCATTTTACTGATGAGGAAACTGAGGCAAACAGGGTGAAATGACTTGTCCAGGGTGAGTCTAGATTTGAACTCAGAAAGATGAGTCTTCCTGACTGCAGGCCTGGTGCTCTGTGCGCTATGGTACCACCTAGCTGCCCTTTATCAATCGTACCGCTCCCTTTCAAATATTCTATGCTCTATATCCTACATATCTAAATTAGATGGACTGTTTCCTCATCCTATCTGCTCCCATCTCTCTTCTTTAGATTATGCCATTCTTTGTCCCTGTAATGGACTCCCTAGGGAGAAAGGCATCTCTTTTACCTAAGATTTTGACTTCCACTTTCCCTAGGCCTCTCCATATTTTTCTCATTTTTTCTTCCATGTTTGCCGTACCTTTTGTCTGTAAGCATCTTGAGGGCAGGGCCTGTGCCGATGCTATCTTTGTAACTCTTCGACTGAGCTCAGAATCTTAGACACGGTGCTTTGTCAGATCTTTCGAATGGAATAGAGAATTGAGATCTCAGCCTAAGGTACTTGTAGGGGCAGCTAGGTGGTGCAGTGGATAGAGCACCAGCTCTAGAGTCAGGAGGATCTGAGTTAAAATCCAGTCTCAGACCAGATATTTGACACTTACTAGCTGTGTGACCCCAGGCAAGTCACTTTACCCCAATTGCCACACACACACACACACACACACAGTGATTACTACTTGTGTGGCTCTGGACAAATCACTTAACCTTTGCTTTGCCTCAGTTCCTCAATTGTAAAATAGGGATAATTACAGCACCTGCCTCCCAGGGATGATGTCACGGTCAAATGAGATAATTTTTGTAAAATGCTTAGCACAGTGCCTGGCACACAGTAGGTGCTATATACTGTAAATGCTTATTCCCTTCCTCTTCCCTGACCTAAGTGAATATTAATTAATGAATCCAGTACCCACCTTGTGTAAATCATAGGGATGTTTAAAAAGCACAAATGAAGAAAAATAAACTATTCCTTCAAAATTCAAGGGCAGGGTAGGCACTGTTTCCTTTTTTGTCTTTTTGTTTCCAATACTTAGCCCAGTTCCTGGCATATAGGGGGCTCTTAGGAATGCTCATTGAATGGTTAATGTTATATATTTTTTTTAAATTCCTAGGAGTAGCTCCTGGGAGAGCTTTTGAAATCTCCTCTGGGTGTTTATAATGTGAGTGCCTTGAAGGGAGGGATTTTTTCCCATTCTTTGTATTTTTAATCTCCATTTCCTAGCATGGTGCCTGGCCCCACACATGGTGGAGGTTTAATAAATGTTGATTAGTGATTGGCTGATTAGGAAAAGGGCAGACATCAGATTTTTCCAACATGCCTTAAGGGAAGTCTTGTCCAAAGCAGAGGGTTGGATGAGATAACTCTGTAAGTTCTTTCCTTGTCCTGTGATTCCACAATTTAATGGCAGTGAATCATGAAGGAAAAAAAAAACAAACCAACCCAAATCCCCAGTGCTAGTATTCTTTGGCCCTAAGTAGGATGTAGCAGAATAGAGGAGCGGATTCAGGGTCAAGAGGATCTGAGCCCAAATCTCTACATTTATGACTTTGGACAAGTCACTGGGTCTCTTTGGGCCTCAGTTTCCCTCTCTGTATGTCATGGATGCTGTTGGTAGTCTGGGGAAGCCTCCTCCAAATAAAGGGTATAGTGGAGGATGAGATGGATAGATGGTGTCATGGAAACAAACAACATGAACTTGCGCAGACTTCAAGAGATAGTGAGGATGGAAGGGCCTGGCCAGCCAGGTCCCTGGGGTCACAAAGAATCGGACACAACTGAGCAATAACGCTAAGTTTCAGTTAGAGTTCTGTTGTCTTTCTTGGAATATATATATATATATATATATATATATATATATATATATATATATATATATATATATATAATATATATATATGTATATTACTGTGCTTGCCTGCCCCCCACACCTAGAAATTCCTTAAGGCCAAGGACTCTGTATCTTCTAGCACCTAGCAGAGTGCCTGGCATGTAATAGGCCCTCTGCAGATGCTTGAATGAATGAATGAGCTACACTTCTCAAGCCTGTCTCAGGCTTTATAGCAGCTGCTGTGACTCACTTCTTTGGCTCTGTCCCCAGGGGTGGTAGCCCAGATTATCAGCTCTCTTTGTCCCTGAATACTCAGGAAAAAACTCTGACACTCTCATTTTATCCTCGCTACATTTCAGTTGAGCTCATTTAGAAAATCAGAATTGTTTACAATTCCTTAATTATGATTTTAGAAATGAATAAAACAAATATATCAATGACCTAGGGTGGGCATCCACTCCCAGCCTCTGATCCCCAGGCCAGGCAGATGATGATGCCCTTTTGGTAGGCAAGACAAAATCACAAGCACTTGGCACACTGTGCTGCAGTGGAAAGAACGCTACATTTGGACACATACTACCTATGTGCTGCTGGTCTAGGCATTTCCCCTTTTCTGGGGCTCAGTTCCCTCATCTTTAAAATGATGGGGCAGGACTCAGTGGCCTTTCTTCCAGTTGTAAATCTATGATTCTATTCTTAGTTATGTGACCTTGGACAAGTCACCTCATGTCTCTTGGTCTCAGTTAATTTAATATATAAGTGAGAGAGTTAGACTAGATCAGAGTTTATAAAGCTGGGGTCCATGGACTTAAACAAACAAAAAAAACCACACGCACACATATAGATAACTGTATTTCAATATAATTTGTTTCTTTTCTAATCCCACATATTTTATTTTATGTACCTAAAAGCATGATTTTAAGAAGGGGTCCATAAGCTTCCCTAGACTTTTAAAGGGGCCTATAACACAAAAATGGTTAAAAGTTCCACATAATGTTTTGGCACATAGTAGGTACTTAATAAATGCATGTTGACTTGACTTGAATCCTTAACACTAAGTGATGTCTAGAATTTCTTCCAGTTCTATGCCTATGTACACCACCAGACTGTTCAGTCAACAAATGTTTTTTTTTGTTGTTGTTCAGTTGTTTTTCGGTTGCCTGACTCTGTGACCCCATTTGGAGTTTTCTTGGCAAAGATACTGGAGTGGTTTGCCATTTCCTTCTCCAGTTCATTTGACAGATGAGGAAGCTGAGACAAACAGGATTAAGTGACTTACCCAGGGTCACATAG